CAGGCACTAGGGAAGTCCCTGTTCCCCCGAGCACTACCAGGAGTGACCAGGAATAATGGTCACAAGCTGGCAGAGGGTAGATTTAGGCTAGATATCAGGAGACGCTACTTCACAGTCAGGGCGGCTAGGATCTGGAACCAACTTCCAAGAGAAGTGGTGCTGGCTCCTACCCTGGGGGTCTTTCAGAGGAGGCTAGATGAACACCTTGCTGGGGTTGTTTGACCCCAGTACTCTTTCCCGCCATGGCAGGGGGTCAGACTACATGATCTACTCAGGTCCCTTCTGACCCTAGAAACTATGAAACTATGATAGTCATTAAAGGATGCCTTAATTTTTTTGACTTTTATATTTTAAGAGAAATTGCATAGTAAATAATCCCTCTGATTCTCATGTTACATTTATGTTGCCAGGTTAGATTAAATTTAATATATTTATTTTTAAAGCTACTCCTTATAGTTTTGGCTTTTACCATTCCATGTATACCTGAACCACTACAGATTTGCAATGCTACATTCTGCAATAGCATCAGGAACTTTTGCATTTATGTTAGCAGTTACTTTTTACTAGGAGAGCAAGGAAGGCCTTATTTGTGTTTATCTCCAAGAACATAAAGAGCCCCGTTAACTCCAGTTAAAAGATAAAATCCTGACCTCTTTGAACCATAGCCAAAAACTTTTTGACTTAGAATCAGCATCTTAGCAGATGTGTGAAAGGGTAAGCACCTGCATAAGTCTTCGTAGAATTGAGGCCTAAGATTTTTGCCTTTGTTTTCAGAGTGGGAATTGAATAAGAAGGTAAGATTTCTATGACTGATTTAATATTGACATTGTGATTACTATAGGCCACTGGCTTCAAAGGACAATTCTCATACACCTAAGCTAGCTGTTACTGGTTGAAGGGCTTTCATTTGGTGAATTAGGACATGGTAATAGTCTGGATGCAGCCAGACCGTGTAATACAGCCCAGATTAACGAACAGGCAAGTAACTAGCATATCTTGAAGTGCCTGGATACATTAATGTCAGCTCAACATTTGGGATGCTGGAGAGAAGCAGGGAAAAACCCTGGTCATACACAGCACGCCAGGCAAGATGGACCTACGGCACGGGTAGGCAACCCCCAGCGTGGCTGCTGGAGTGTGGCACAGGTATTTTGCTTGGCACACCTGCCTCGAGGTGGACAATAGGGAAGGGGCTGGGGCTGTGCTGCCACAACAAGGATCAGGCCCCTTGCAGCTTTCCTGCCGTCTGCCCCTGACACACCAACATCTTACAAGTGGAGGTTGTGGATGTTTTGGGCACTCTGCCCAAAGATGCTGCCAACCTCTGACCTACGGTCTGACTCTGCAAGTGCCCCTTCTCAGGGTCTTGCAATCTGTGTGCTCAGGGCCGTGACTTCGTCTTTGCTGCACGGTGCAGATGCTCCGGAGGAGGCCATGGCTCTGGCCCCTCCAGGTCCTGGACACAGGGCTCCCTCCTCAAGATCCACCAGCTTGTTTTTTTTTCTTTTTTTCTTTCTTTCTCTTTCTCTTTTCTTTTCACCAAAGAGTAAGAGGAACAGCAGGTGCCTGGCCTGGCAAGAAACGCTAATGTACTGCTGAAATAGGAAAAATACAGACGGCATAAAATATTGCTGTCTCCTGTGCTTTTCACACTCGTTCGTTAAATGTTCAATTATGCATATAGCTGTGGTGTTTGTGCGTGTGGCATCCCCCTCCTCGTCCCTGTCCTAGGGCTGGGCCCGCGCGGAACCTTGGCGCGGCGGCGCCGGGCGCGGCCGGACCCAAGAGCGCGGGACCCGCGTCCGTCGCACTCGGCGGCCCCCGCGGCGGCGCCATGTCGGACTTCAGCCCTGAGCTGATCGACTACCTGGAGGGGAAGATCTCCTTCGAGGAGTTCGAGAGGCGCCGCGAGGAGCGGAAGAAGCGGCAGCGCAAGGGGAGGCCCGGCCTGGGGCAGGCCCCAGGCGGCTCCGCGTCCCCTGCCCTCCCCGGCGCCCGGGTGCGGGTCCAAAGGACCCAAGCTGCTGATGCCGGCCGGGGGAGGCAGGTGAGACCGTCCCTCTGAGGGGGCTGGACCCCGGCGCCGAAGTCCTTAGTTAGGTCTCTGCTTAACTTCATTTTCTGTAATGAGCCGTGGAGCTGTCTGTGTCAGGAGAGGCCAAGGTACGGCCCACCAGGTGGATCCATTCTGCAGAATCATATGTTCCGATCCATGGGGCTCCCCACATTTGGTGGCATGGCAACCAATGCCAGTGTTAATTGCTGTGGCTCCCAGCAGTTAATGCTGCCACTGCTCATCCTGCCACCAAATTTCCAGACCCATGGGGAGCCCTGGGGTCCAGATCCGGAGCACAGAGCATTGTCATTTGTTCTGCGCTTGAGATTTGGCAGTGGGAGGAGTGATGGCTATTGCAGCTCCAGGAGCCATAATGATTAATGCTACTGCTGCTGCTGCCAGTTCCAGTCTCATGGGGCAGATGATGAAACTTCATTCTCCAGATCTGGCCCATGAACCATTCCTGTGCCTCTCTGGCCTGTGCATTGGGTACCACTGGTCTGTGCACATTAACTCCATACAGGGTCAGTGGAAGAGGAACTTGTTAGAGCAGCTTAGTTAAGTTGTGACTGTGATATGAAGACACCTGGCAGGCCCTGATCTACTGTTCTCTATCTTCTACTATCCAGTGGATGTGTCTACACCAGCAGCCAACTGTGTGTTTGTTACTGTGCAGTCCTGTGGCCGCATACTTATTTTTAGCTGCTACTGTGCAGTAGCGTCCGCATCACTTTTCGTGCCCGGTGACTCTGTGTCACCGTCACAACAAGCTATGGCACAATAGCTCATTGTTATAACAACATAGACGTGCCCTGTGTGTATGTGTGCTACAAGGAAAGAGGTGCATGCAGGTCTCCTTGCAGTGAGCTGCAGAGTGCACAGCTTACTGAAAAACAATTTTTACATAAGAGAAAGCATTAGATTCTGCCTGACCCTTATCATACGTCCCAGTCCCTGCTTGTACTGGACTGTTTGCAGAGGTAGAATACGTAAGTGAGGCATTATTAAAGAGGGCTGAGCTCAGGTTGTTTTAGGATGTACCTTAACTTTGTATTTCTTTGTTTTCAGAGATTTGAGGGCATTTTTAAACTGTTTTGGCAATGTGTGAAATAGCACATTAATACTTAAATGCTGTATTTAATATTTTCTTCCCCTACCAGCAACTTAGCATTCAACCCAATAGCTATTTCAGATAAGGGAGGCAAGGTTAGATAAGGGAGCCAAACTTCTGTGAAAGGATTCATGATGTTTGCTTATAATTTTGGGGGTTTTTTGGGTTTTTTTTGGGGGGGTGTTATTGGAGTTGGCACCATAATATAAACTTATGGGCTTCAGCCCCGGGGCTTCAGTGTGTTTGAAAGGAAGTTGGATACTTCAGGATTCATCAGTCAAAACTAAATTAGGACAAGAGTAAGCAGTAACAATATGACTCTGTGTTAGCAAAAATCAAAGTATGTTATAACCAATCAACACTGGTACCAAGTCCATTAAAGCTGTATCACCTCTAATACAGAAACATTGGAATCTATAATCTACATACTAGTCAGAACCATATATGATGATTAAAAAAGAATGTTCTATTCCAAGCCTTGTGAATAATATTGTTGGTTTCTGCAGGATGAAGAAAATGCACCTACTGAGGAAAATACAGAAAACCTTGATGCTCCATCGTCATCTAAAAAAGGATCTAGTAAATCCCAGTGTCTTAATGATACAGAAGGTATGTGTCAGTGTGTTCATCTAAGTGAAGAAATGAGAAAAAAAATCTGTCTCTGGTTACTATAACCAATACTTTGCTGTAACTCTTCACTCTTTGATACTGTCTGTAACAAATAGTTAGCTGTTGCACTGAAATATAGAGTATAGGTTTGTTCTTATTGATATTAAGAACAGCACAAGCTCAAAAGGGTTCAGAGAAGGGCCACCTGAATGATCGAAGGCCTGGGGGACAGGCCCTGTGAGGAGAGACTTCGGGATCTGGGACTGTTCAGCCTGAGCAAAAGAAGGCTGAGAGGCAATTTGATAGCTGCTTACAAATATGTCAGGGGAGAACACCAGGACTTGGGTGAACAACTTTTCAGAAAAGCCCCACCCCGGGAAGATGCGGACCAGTGGACACAAGGTAGTCGAGGAAAAGTTTTGGCTTGACATAAAGAAAAACTTCTTTTCTGTACGGATAACTAGAATCTGGAACACACTTCCAGCAGAGATGGTGCAGTTGCCATCTCTGGTGGTCTTTAAGAGGAGGCTGGACAAATACCTCATTAAGCTTGTTTGAGCCCAGTTGCCTCCTGCCCATGGCAGGGGGCTGGACTTGATGATCTTATAGGTTCCTTCTGGTCCTTCTTTCTACGATTCTATCATATTAAGGCTTGTCATTCCAGAATAGCTTTATGTTTGTTCTGTACCTCCAATGGAAAAGGATCTGTTAGTTGCATGAAAAAGGTTTTTTCCTCTTGGCAGCTTAAATATGGATTTTCTTATCTCCTGGACTTCCAAAGCTGTGGAACTAGGAAAAACTTCAAACTTTCAAATTTGGCTCAAGTCTTTCAGCTTTCTTCCCTTTCTGAGAGTACTTTGTTTTCTTGGAAGTTTCAGGTTTGTCCAGAGTATCTGACTCTCTAGTATACCAATGTTTGATTTCTTTTCTGTGCCCTCTGAAAGAGTACTGTAGCTGAGGGGCCTGGTTTGCTCAGTTTCCCTCTAACCTGCTAAAGGGGAGACTTTTTTGTTCCTTCCTCAAGGACAGTCTCTTTCTCAGTGAGACCTTCCTTTTCTCAACAGTTCTGGGTACTAGCTTCTTCACTGGTTCTCCTGCAGAAACTGCCTGGCAAAGGAAGGGTAGTATTAGCATCAGCTCCTTCAGATACACTCTTAGTAGAAGCCACCTTAGATATAAGAAATATGGCTTCTAGGATAGTAAAAGACAGCAGGTCCATAAAAGCAGAAAGAGTACCTGCCAGTTCTGCCTTTCTAGCCAGTCCTAGTATTAACAGCCCCAGCTTCTCAGGTACTGGAATTTAGGCTGACACTTGGACCTTGCAGCCTGCTTCTGGCTCCATCCCATTGCAGACCATGCTTTTGAGGCTGCCAGAGGGTACCTCATGTGACTTCTGTATGAGGGCCTTGTCACCTGTTACACTTTAGTATGTGTTAACTGCAAGGAAAAAATAATTGTTGTGTAGCAAAGTTAGGACTTCTGGTGAGGAGTATCTCCAGATCGCATTACCTAACCAGTTCAGCTAATGTCCAGCTGCTTCAGAGAAAATACAAACAGGAAACTCTGGGGTGATGCCAAAGTTGGTACTGACAGACAGCTGTTTGCCACTCCCAACTCTCCCACCAGTGTAGACTGGGTTCAAGACTCCTGTATGGTGGGGGGGCTAGAAACAGCAAATAGCTCTTTGTTGCTCCCAGCTCCTGTAGCGCACTGGAGTCTTCAATGGCTTCAGTGCTTAGGATGTGTTTAATTTAGGTCATTGTAATTCACAGTAATGCATAGTAACTCTGACTCATGGTAATGCTTACTGTGATCTAAATCAGTAGTGCTCAACCTTTTTCCCCAGCAGGCTGGATGGGTAGTACCTGGTCCTGCTGTGGGCCAGATCTCAGCTGTGGTTCCAATCCAGTGCCTTGGGCCTGTGGGTCAGTGGGGCCTTATCTGGCCCCATACAAGTGTGGGGGGAGCAGCCTAGCCTAGCCTAGCCTAGGCTCGCAGGTGGGGCAAAGGGGCTTCATTTGGCCCTGAGTGTGGGGGTGGGGTTGCATAAAGGGAATATGGTTCTGCTCTGTGGGAGGGGGCCCACATGACCCAGCTATGGGAGGGGCGTGGCTTGGCCCAAACCCAGCCCTGGGGCTTGACCCAGCTCCACAGGGAGGAGAGGGGTATGACACGACCCCAACCTGGCTCTGCTGTGTAGAATAGTGGGTGTCGCCTGGCCCTGCAAAGGGGTGTGTGTTAGGGCTGTGTGAAGCTTCGGTTGCTGATTTGGTTTGGCAGAGATTCAGCCCGATTCGGATGTCAGATCTCCGAATCAAATCAGGAGACCCTTTAAGAGATTTCGGAGAGATTTGACAATTCGGACATAGACACAGCTTTATATGTTTTCTCTACATACTTCAAGGTACCAGGCGGCTCGTGAACACTGAGATGCTGGGGCGGGTAGAGCATTCCACAGGAGTGCGGGGGAGTCCTCAGCAGCAGACCTGGAAGTGGACCACAAGCACTTCCCTCCCTTCCTCCCCCTCACCCAGCTCAGTGACTGGTGCCTTCTGGGTCTGGGGGGATGGGGCGTGGTGCAGTTGCCCGCGTTCTTTGCGGCAGACCCGGAAGTATTTCCAGTCCACTTCTAGGTCCACCACCAAGCATGCAGGGGACCCCCCCCTCCCCACTGCGCTCCTGTTGGATGTTCCATCTGCCCCACCATCTCACTGTTTACAAGCCGTGCCTGGTACCTCAAGGTTTGTAGAAAGATCATTTAAAGCTGTGTCTGTGGCCAAATCGCTGATTCTCCAAATCGGCATTGAATCTTCAGATTCAGATTTGGCTGAATCGAATTGGGACAGTGATCCGAATCAACAGATTGAATCACTGTCCCCCAATTCGGGCCAAATCCGAATTGAATACAGCCCGCTTTGCACACCCCTAGTATGTGGCCCATCCCTGCAGGGAAAGAGGGGGTGTGGCCCAGGTCAGAGGGGTGCAGTGTGGCTCTGACCATGTGTGCAGGGCTTGGGGTTTGGAAATCTGGCAGGAGGGAGGGTGACTGTATTTATGGTCACTGCTTCCACTGCCAAATTTCCTGACCCAAGGCCAGCCCCGTGGGCCGGATTCTAAGGCTCTGCAGGCCGCATTTGGTCCACAGGCTGGAGGTTGAGCATCCCTGATCTAAATAAAACACATGGTAAATGGTAACTTGTAACAAGGCCCTCATTCTTTGGGTCAACAGAAAGTAAATCTTGACCTCTGAATCTGGGCACTGGCTCTTGGCTTCCCTCTGTTCCCTTCATCTGCAGAGATCATGTTTTCAGTGTGGATGTCCGCCCTTCCCATGCATATGACATGGCATGGTGCCAGATGGGATGGGGCATAATACTGTATTCTTCAACACCCAAATGTGCCATTATATTAACATCTGCCAGGCGTATTGCACAGAACCTCCATCTCAGAAGCGAAAATCCCAAACCCTACGGAGCTTTGATGTCCAAATCCAGGAAGAAAGAATATTTTTTTCCTTCATCTTGGACCTCTCATTGCATAAACCTCATCAAGCAGTATTTGAGTGGCTGTAATTACAATACGTCAGAGCAGACTTGATTAATCAAGTCTGCTGGGGCGTGATAATTAACATGCTTCAGCCAGCTTCTGCATCTCATATATCAGTGTCCCCGTGCTTCAAAATGGCGGCGGAGGCACTTTAATTAAAGCTTGTTTGATGAGTTTTAAAGCACCCACGCCGCCATTTTGAAGCACAGGGATGCAGATACACAAGATGCTGCGGGTGTTTTAGTTAGAGTGGATCTCGGAGCCACTCTCATTAAAGTGCCCCGTACCACACCCCCAAAGAGCAGTCACTAGAATTGCATTCAAAGTTCATAAGAAGACAATTTGGGACAGGTTTTCTTTTTTGATGAATGTTATGCAAAATTACACAGTGGACTTCACCTCTGACCCATTGCAGTCTTCAGTGGATCATTTCGAGCAAGAGGATTAAGAGAAAGAGGAAATGGAAGAATTTACTGCACGCTTCAATGAAAAGATAATCTCTCCCCATTTCTTTGTTTTGGTTAATATTAAAGTTGGACTAGAAATAGCCAGAGAGGATCAAATGCCTGGCAGGTACATAATACCTGCTGTAGCATGGCTGTCCACTTGGTAGCCTGAAGACCACAACTGGCTCTCAAGGGTTTAACTCGCAGCCCTGGGTTTATGGTTCAGGTGCCACTCCCACCACTTCTTCATCTGTTGCCCCCAGAGTCTCTGAGCTTTCCCTCCTTCCTCTGGCATCTGCTTCCTGCTCCCACACTTGGGGGCGGGGTAGAGTGGAGTGGGGCAGCAGAGGCAAGAGAGCCCACGACACAGTGACTCAGGGGGACCTGGGAACCTTGTGTAGCGTGGGGGTGCCACCACTGTACAGTGGGGTCACACCTGCCATGTGACTTGATGGGGGAGGGCATTCAGGGCATGGGGACACTAGTGTAGTGTAGCTTGTAGGGGACTTGTGGTCCCTAGCTACTCAGAATTTGTAAAGCCTTGTGCTGTAGTGCATAAATTGAAGTTATATGATCTTATAACACTGAGGCCCATGGCATACAGTAATCACTTCTTAAGAAATTAGCTAGCCATACATTAATGCAATTAAAGGCATGATAAAATAAAGAATAAGACACAAAAGTTATTACACAAAATATGTATAATAACTTCATGGCTGGTTCGTATCGCTCCATTAGTTGAACTTGTGGCTGGGCTGATTGGGGCTCCCAGCTTTCAGAGCATATGGGAACTCTTGACTCCAGTGTGCTCCTGAGGCTGTGCGTGCCAAAAAGCTGATTGCCGCTTCCAGCCACAGGGGTACATCAGAGTCCTGGACTCCAGCGTGTCCCAACATCTGAGCCCCACCAACTGATTGGGGCTCCCAGCTGCAGGAGCTTGCTCCTTGTCTGTGTAGGGGAAGCCTAGGATCAGGAGCCTGGGTTCCTCTTGCATTAGCAGTATGGCATGGTGGGATCTGATACTCAGTTCCACAGTCATGCCCTGTGGCATGGCAGGAAGTGCGATTGTGCAGATCATGCATCAGATCCCATCATGCCTTTAATTGCATGTCAGGGGCCTGAAAGATGTTTCCATGGATACAAACCTTTCCCAAACAAGTCAGTTTTTTCCATCTGAAAGTCTTAGTGGGTCAAGCACAAAATATATTTATATTATGGGTTGGGCCTGCTTCTGTTTAGCCTTTTGATTCGTACTTGTTTCTCTCAAATCTCCCAACATCTTTCATTTCCTGAAGCCATCAGGAATGTCCCTTTTTAGCATATTCTTTAAAGTTAATCTACAAAATGTGAATTTCATTCTACACATAGATGGGTTTATAGATGGTATATGTGGGAATGAGCAGTTTTAAAAGCTTGTGTAAATTATCAGATTTCTGTGCATCAAATCCTAAATGCCTGCTATGGACATATAGTGCAGATACTTAAAAATGATCATTACAGCATTTTGTTTTGTCCTTAAAACGCTACCCGTGCAAAGGATTTGGGGATGGATTCACAAGAGATTCTGAGGTTTGAATTTATAGGTGATAGGATAGGTACTTACTGAGTCATAGTTGGTTGGGAAATCATAATCCAAATTACCAGTAATTGGTTTCTGTATTCTAGTTCAGTGTAATTATGAGCCCATTAATTATCCACTTCAGCTTGAGTGTTTACTTCACCTATCCATTTTGTGGTGGAACATGCATTAATCTTTGTCCTTGTTATGGCTTCAGAAAAACTATTGAGTAATGATCGTTCTGTTCATTTGGTTTCTGATTGCTGCTATTTCAAATAACTCTGGAAATGTCTTGGAAAAATATTCTCAGCTTCTTTGATGAAGGACAAGGGAAAAGTTTTAAAACCAGGGGCAGCTTAGAAAAAGAAAAGAACTTTAAAAGAAGAGTCCTCTAAGAAATTTGTGGCATAGATGGGTCAGGTTGCCTAATAATTTGGGGGAGAAACATAATTCTTAATTTCAGTAAACTGAAAGATTAATATTCTTTTTTTCCTCTAATTTATGTTTATTCTCAGAAAATTATCTAAGTGATGAACTGTACTTAACAGTTAGAGTGTACTCGACAAGAGGGTGGCTATGATATATGGGTATCAATAATTTGATTTTTTTAGAAACAGAAAATGGTTGAATAAAGAAGTTTAGTGCCTTGCAGCAGGACCCTTTAGTGTTTCTTTTAGGGGTGCACCAATAAAGATTTTTTGAGCTGATACTGATGGCCAGTTATTGACCGGCCGTATCAGCCAATACCAGTCTGATTGCTGATATGCAATGCAGCATCATGGACAGCAGTATCTGCCTGGTAAGTCTGCTGGGAAGAAGGAACATAGGGGGGGAAGGGGTGTGGGGGAGGAGCAGATTGAGGTCCCTGAGGTGAAGGAAGGAGTGGGGAGGGGGCAGGGGCAGACGCTACCCAGGTGGGGTAGGGTAGGGCGGGGTATAAGATGGAGCTGGCGGCTTATCCGGGGGGGGGCGGCTCCTGCTGCTGCATGCACCCGTGGGAAAGGCATGCGGGGCCTGTGCATGTGGCAAGGGTGGGTTGCCTGCTGCATGCTCGTGGCCAGGGCTGCTCCAGCCTTTTCTGAGCAGCTGTACTCGCGCCAGGCGGGGCAGGCAGCAATGGCACTGGGAGGGTAGGTAAAGGTGAAATTTGGGGTGGTTCTAGCTCCCCTCCCCCCCCATAATCCCCTTTCCCAGCACAGCTGCCAGCCAGCCACCCCACCCTGCCCTGCCTGAGCACAACCACCAGGAAGAGGCTGGAGTAGTCCCATCCCTGAGCTTGCAGTAGGCAGCCTGCCCTTGCCCCGTGCACAGATCTGGGAGGCACATATCCCCCCTGTCTCCCTTGGTGTGCGCAGTGGTGGGAACCACCCCTCCCCACCTACACTTCCCCCCTCTGCCCCCCCGATGAGCTGCCAGCTCCATCCTGCGGCCCACCCCAGCTGGGCAGCCCCAGCCTGAGCCCCACGCCTTCCCTCAATGCGGGGGGGGCTCAATCTGTCCCTACCCCTACCCCTTCTTCCCAATAGACTCACCAGCCAGATGTTGTTCTCCAAGCTGCCAGGCTGTATTCTTAGCCCCATGCATGCTGCAGCTGCATATATGCACACAGCATTTATCAACAACATTACTGGCCACATCAACCAAAAAAAGCTGATTGCCAATGTCAATTTTCCTTTTATTGGTGACAGTGCAATATGGACCAATGTATTGATGCACCTCTAGTTTCTTCACAAGGGCTTTGTTTAGCTCAGATTCTGTGCCTGCCTATATCAAAGATGAGTTTGATCTTAGATGTTCTTCAACTTTAAATCTGAATGATGGAGAGTAGAAGTAAAAGTGATGAAGTGGTACATGATTTTTTTTTTTGTTTTATTTTGGGTTTTTTTTCTTTTTGGGGTTGGACTTTTTTGTAGTATACTGAAACACTTTGTCTGGTGCTCTTAGGAGGAACTCTAGGTTTGTGCTTAAGAAGTTAAACAAATAGCTAGTTGATTTTTCTCTGGACTTGAACATAAACACACAGTGATTCATCAAAATGTCTTGTAAATCTTTCTGGTTTTCTTCAACCAGGCGAAACATCAGATGGGGTGAGTAAGTCTGTGCATCGGGTCTTTGCTTCCATGCTTGGAGAAAATGAGGACGAGGACGAGGACGAGGAGGAGGAGGAGGAGGAGGAGGCAGAGGAGGAGGACGAGGAGGAAGAAGAGGAGGAGGAAGATGATGAAGAAACCTCTGAGCAACCCTCAGCTGGAGATGTTTTTGCATTGGAGATGGTGTTAAACCGGGAGAACAAGAAAATGATGAAAGCAAGTATTTAGATGCAAGAATGTTCATATAGTTGATGTCACTGAAACTCTCTTTTGTGGCTTTGTTTTAGAGACATGAGGTAAAATTTTAAAACTAAATTCTATCAGTGATATCTCCCAGTTCCTCATAAATGTTTTTGTTTACATGTCTTTATATTTTGGAAGCTCACTGCAAATCCCTAGTCTTTGTTGGGCACCTGCAGAAGCAGAGTAATTTTTAGTTTTCTATAGCAGGCTTTTAGACCAATTTTTTTGATGCATGGTAGTCAGGTTTACTCTGCAAATTACTAAAATTAGGAATAGTTTAGACAGACATTTGTGCTTGATATGTTTTTCATTTGGGCATAATTAAAACATCTATAGATATGGTCTGATCTTTCAATTTAGGAGAAAAGACCACGCAGTAAACTTCCTCGAGCCCTGAGAGGCCTCATGGGAGAAGCCAACATTAGGTTTGCTCGAGGAGAACGTGAGGAAGCTATACTGATGTGTATGGAAATCATAAGACAAGGTACTATGACGTTTCTTTGACATGTCAGGCTTTAAAATGCCATCCATTTAAATGCAGACAAATTATATGAAATTATATTATTTGCAAAGGGGACAGTATAAAAATGTGTTGTTTTTTTACTTTTTAGACTAATATCAGTAGTTGAGTTCAGCATACCACTAATTTGGTGTTTTGGGAATACTTCTACCCCAACATTAAGTAAGCTGTATTACTGTTTGTAAAAAAAGAAACCAAGCCTGTGATCCTGCAAAAACTTGTGCTGTGGATTAGTTTTGTACTTTATTCAATTGATTTTATAGGATTGAGTTCTGAGTGGCTTTGTAGACATAATTTGTTGCAGGGATAAACCACTACCTAATCTGATAGCAATGTTCAGTTAGTCTATTTAATTACATAGAATCATAGAAAATTTGGGTTGGAAGGGACCTCAGGAGGTCAATTAGTCCAACCCCCTGCTCAAAGCAGGACCCATTCCCAACTACATCATCCCAGCCAAACTTTGTCTATCTGGGTCTTAAATACTTACAAAGATGGAGATACCACCACCTCTTTGGGTAACCTGTTCCAGTGTTTTACTACCCTTCTAGTGAGAGAATTCTTCCTGATATCTAACCTAAACTTCACTTACTGTTACTTGAGACAATTGCTCCTTGTTCCGTTATCTGCCACCACTGAGAACAGTTTAGTTCCATCCTCTTTCGAATTCCCCTTCAGGTGGTTGAAGGCTGCTATTAAATCCCCCCTCAGTTTTCTCTTCTCTAGCCTAAATAAGCCCACTTTCCTCATTCTTTCCTCATAAATCATGTTCCCCAGCATCTTCACCATTTTTGTTGCCCTCCTCTGGATTCTCTGCAATTTGTCCACATCCTTCCTATAGTGGGGTTCCAAAACTGAACATAGTACTCCAGATGTGGCCTCATCAGTGCTGAATAGAAGAGAATGATCACTTCCTGTGACCTCCCTACATGCAGAGAGAACTGTTGTTTCTTTTTCATTTTAACAAGATCATTTTTTGTTTGATGTAATTATCATGCACTTCATCTGCAGAAGTACAAAATGTCTGATTTCAAGGTGGTTTAAAAGTGCCTAATGATTTTTTTTGCCTTTAATAGCTCCTCTTGCTTATGAGCCGTTTTCTACTCTTGCCATGATCTATGAAGACCAAGGTGACATGGAGAAATCATTGCAGTTTGAATTGATTGCAGCTCACTTAAACCCTAGTGACACTGAAGAGTGGGTTAGACTAGCAGAAATGTCACTAGAACAGGACAATATTAAACAGGCCATTTTTTGCTATACAAAAGGTAATGGTGTGAGTGTTTTATTACTTCTTTCAAAAAAATCAAATTTGTCGATGCCTAGTGGCTCCAAAAGCTAATGTGGTTATGGTGTGCCTTTTTCTGTAGTCAAATGCTATAGAAGGAGTGATGGGGCCAGCATTGCATCCACCTATCTTTGTACTCGCCAGCCTTAAGTACCCACTGTACCCATTTATAGCTGTGTTAGCTGGAGATGATCTTCAGCACAAGCCTGAAGCAAAGTTTGATCTCATGCGTATGGAGCTGGACCACGATGCCTTAACTAAGGGCTGTCTAAGTGGCGGTCCACGGACAACCTGCAGCCTGTGAGGGGTTAATCTGTGCCCCTTCCCCACCCCTTTTGGGCTTCCACCCTACTGTAGTTCCCCCTATTTCTCTGGCAGTAGCCAGGTTGTCTGGGCTTTCCTTTTGGCTTCAGCTTCCTTCACCTGCCCAAGAGGGCAAGGCAGTGAGCCTGTGTCGTGATGCAACAGGAGAACTCATAGCTGGTGAGTTTGGAGGGCAGGTTGCCTGTGCAAATGTACGATAGAATAGCTGCTGCTGTGCTCAGTTGTGGGGGGCTGTATCCCTCTGCATAGTGGAGAAGTTGAGGGGAGTGCCCAGTGGAGTGGTGGGATGGGGGAGCTGTCCACACATGCAGTGGTTGCTCACACATGCCATGCAGCAGGGGGGAATGCCTGTAGGAGGGCAGCCTTGGCTCACACTTTTGTGGCCCACAGGTGTGCAACCCCCTTTGGTGCATTTGATGCAGGGTGCCTTCCCTAGCAGTTGAGAGGTTGGACAGTTCTACTATAATCATTCTACTTGGACCCCCTCAGCAAGGTTCCATTCTTACCAAGATGATAATCCAATGACAATCTTTTGCTTCACATTAGTGTCTAATTTGGCTTTCTTTAGCATCTAATTTTGCTTTTGCTTCACATTAGTGTCTAATTTGACTAATCTTCTCTGAGATTTGTAGTTACTTTGTTTAAAACTGATGTAATTTTTCTCTTTCCACGGTCTCCATCTTTCTTTATAGGACTTTTTCTTACTAAAAGTATGTGTGCATGCACATGTGTGTAATAGTATATCTGTTATGAAATAAAAATAACTATTGATGAACACGCAACCCCCATTACCTGTGTTTTTGGAATAGATGGTAAACGTGTTGATATTTTTCCATTAGTAATATATGCACATTCTGCATAAGTGTTGATTTATACTGTTACAGAAACTTTCCTGCACCTGTAAATGTTTACTATAATTCTTTCTTCTGAGAAGACATTTACAAAGGCTTTATTACTATCATTCAGATCAAACAAACATAGAGAACGTAGCTTTGCCTTATTCAAAGTCAGTCATATCATAGAGAGCTTTGTCTTTGTTGCAGCTCTGAAGTATGATGCTACCAATGTACGTTATCTGTGGGAAAGGTCAAGCTTATACGAACAGATGGGGGAACATAAAATGGCAATGGATGGCTATAGACGCATCTTAAATCTCCTGTCCCCTTTTGATGGAGAACGTTTTATGCAGCTCGCCAGAGACATGGCAAAGTAAGTTACCTTTTCTAGTAGTATTCCTTGATTTCCCAAATTTAAAAGAAAATTGCTTAATTTAAGCTTACTCCTTTTGTCTGAGCTAGAAGAAACGTTGGAAGCATCTTATTGCAACTTCTAAAATTTTTAGAATAATGTTGTTTCTAAAGAGCCTAATTTGTAGAGGAGTTGTAATCTTCTATGCATGTACTGCCTGTTATGTATCTCTTAAATGATTTGTTTTATTTGAAAGTTATTTCACAGATACCATGTTTGATGCATCATCTGGAGACATTGCAGTTTTATAGAATGAAAAGAATAAAATGCAAACCTTGTTTGCTGATGTAAAAAATGTGTGTCCATACATACATACAAACATTAGAATCTTTTTATTCAACAAAACTCTTCCCTGTTTGGGTCCAAAGGGATCTCTATTTGCTTAATGAGGGGGGAATAAGTTTGTGCTCATTAATAGCAATCAGTAGAGTTTATTCTTTTAATTTTCAGTTCAGCATGACATTTCTACACTTAATTATCTGTATTTCTAAAGTTGTATTTTGTAAGTAAATTATCCTGCACTTTTTCAGTAACATTAGACAAATGGAAATCTTTTCTTTCTCTGCTGGTAGACACAGTTCTCTTCCTAGACGTGGGATTTAGAGAGAAAAGGATGATGCCTAAAATACAAGTGGAAGACAGGAGAACTAGATTTTCTTTTCTGACAGGTCTTTCCTTCTGTGGCCTTCTACAAGTCACTTAACTTCCCTGTTAACAGATCCCTTAGTAAAATGGGAAAGTTATAATGGACCTATCACTCAGGGCTTAAGTGACGTTAATTAATTAATAATGAATTGAAAAAGCCTTTTGAAAGTCTTGGATGGGACATACAATATAAAGTAAAGTAGTCAAGTTTTAACAATAACATTGGGGTTTTAGCTGAAAACATGTTAATACAATAAAGACTAGTAACTAAAAACAAAAGCAGGGAGTAATTTAATAAAAAAAATAAATGTTACTATATAGCAGAAAAGACAGTGATGAAATTGGTTGTATTGCAATAAATAATCATGAGTGGGAGAAAATATGTTCCCTTTCCTTTACATTCAGAAAGAAAACGATCTGCCGGAATAAAAATGAACAGGTGCTAGAAAAGAAGACTGATGGAAATCGTGAAAGAATGCAGTCACAATACTTAGTTGCTTCTCATAGGTAGCACAGTTGTCACTAGTATTTGGTACTTCTTGTCCATATTTTCACAGGAGTTATTATGAAGCCAATGATGTCACCTCTGCTATTGAGATCATAGAAGAAGCTTTTACTAAACACCAGAGCCTTGTCTCCATGGAAGATGTCAATATAGCTGCTGAACTATATATTTCCTGCAAACAGTATGACAAAGCACTGGCGGTATGAGCATTAAATCTGACTTGACAATTCTGTGAACTTTAGGATCGTTTATATTCTTATATTTTTTAAGCATAGTATTCCCAGTTTGTGGCAGTGATGGATCAAATAGGTTACTGCCCAGTGCAGTTGCTTTTGCCTGATCAGTGCTGGCACTTTTGCCAGCAATTGACACTAACATCAAAAGCTTGATTTATTATATCAGAGACCTGTGGAAGATGTATGATGTTTCAAGAGGATGGTTTTGCAAATGGTTTTCTTCCTATCAGGTACACTGCTGATAAGGCTAGCTAGTCAGGCTGTGTGTCCACCACATTTATTCATTTAATTTAAAGCCAGAATTAACCCTTTTAAGTCATTCATTGTTAGATTGTCACTAGATACCCCTAATTAAGTAGAGTGACTTAGCTTTTTACATGTTTCAGAATGGTATCCAAACTTGATGGAGAACCTACTGTTTACCTTCATAGTTATTTCAGTAGTTACTGCAAATGAAAAAGAAACAAAAGAAATGCTGTTTCCTGTTTCCAGCCATTCTTGTTATGTCTTTCTCTGTTAAAGAGCCTACTAGTCTAGCACCTGGGATTTTTCTCCCTCTGGAGTTCCTTACACAGTATACATGCACATGCTTACTTCTCAGTAAACCTCCCTAATACTGAGTAAATTTGCTATCTGCAAGTGCAAGTAACAAATTTACTCGGCATTAGTAACAGTGCCGTAGTGCTTGTGTAGATGCCTGACTGGGAGCAAACTCTGCTCCCAGTCAGCCATCCACCAAGGGGTGGGAGATAGCTCTCTGCCCCCAGGAGCTGCCTACTGCTGGGGCAGGCTCTGCCACAAGAGTCCAGGCAGGGAATATGTCCCCCACCATGGCAGCAGGGAGCTCCAGGTGACCTTTATCTCCCAGCCTGAGCCATATGGAAAATCTTAAATCTCCTGTCCCCTTTTGATGGAGCACTGCAGGGCTCAGACTGGGAGATAAGGGTCTCCCAAGAGTGGCCCCACGATCGCAGGGCTTGGGTTGGGAGATGAGCATCTCTTAGCAGCGGCCCTGTGACTGCATAGCTGGCACTGGTAGCTCCCTGCTGGGGGAAAAAGCTTCCCAGCCTGTTCTCCCTCAGCTTCATGCTTGCGAAGATGTGGGGAAAAAAGCTGCATGTCCAGGAGGGGACAATGTCCCCCTGCCCTGGCAGTAGGGAGCTTCCAGCTCCTGCTCCCTGATTGTGGAGTAGGGGGTTGGGGAGCTTGTTTCTGGCCCCTGTCCCATGATGGCAGAGTGGGGATTGGGAACACGCTCCCCAGCCCCCACTCTAGGATTGCAGTCGGGATTGCAGAACAGGGGCTGGGAGCTCCTTGCATGGGAAAAGTTCCCCGCTCAGCCTGGAGCTGGTTGGAACCTGCCCCTGATTGGGAAGCACGTGCAGCCTGGAGGTGGTTGACGATTATCCTGTTTTGGGCAGCTCCGTGCTAGCTCTAGGCCTGCGCATACAGACTTCCCCATGCAGCCCAGGACTGGCCGGCAACTGTTCTGGTCAGGGGCAGGTCCCAGCCCCATGCTCTGATCTGGTGATTGAGGCATGGGACATGGAGAGAGCTGCAGGGGTGGGTTAGGTCCCAGCTCCTTGCCCTGATCCACCGGTGGGCCAGTTAGCAGCTAGCTTGCAAATGGGACCTTCCCCTCCCCTGTAGCTCTTTCCAAACTGTGATTTAACTTGAACCAGAAAGGGGTCTGGGACAGACGTTTCAGAAACTGGTTTGACCCAAATCAGTTAAGTCTGATACTACATTCAATCAAGTATTTCTTAGGCCAGTTTCAACCATTTTAAAACTGGTTTATGTGCAGTGAACGTATGTTCTGTTGCAGGTTTAAACCAGTTTCTCATTACTTAAATTGGTTTGTGTGTAACTTGTATCCCTAGTCCTGTTGGTACACCCTGCACTTTTTTTCCCCCTAGTTACATAACTGCATTTGGTCATATTAAAACACCATTCATTTGAATGAGCTCATCTTACCATCTGTTTCTTTGTCCTTATTGTTATCCATTCACCCAGATTCTATCAGCCATAATTAAAAAAAATATATTTACTTCCATATCATTGAAAATATTTTGTAGTATCCAGTCCCATTAAAATCCTATGAAAAATCACACTGAAAGCTCCATTCAGCAATGATTGCCTGTGGAACAATGTCTTTTGAGCTTTCATAGTTTCTAGGGTCAGAAGGGACCTGAGTAGATCATTTAGTCCGACCCCCTGCCATGGCAGGAAAGAGTACTGGGGTCAAATGACC